GCATATTCTTTGTGGTTGGGTTATTAACATTGTGTTTAGGTCAGAGGAGAGTGTGTTCAATCTGCTATGCTTTGATAAAAGTAAAATGCTGATGGAGATCATTTAAGATCGTCTCTATGCTGTTGATTGCATGCTTGTGGCTCATAATCAGAATGATGCAAAGTAATTGTTAGACTGACTTGCCAAGGCTACATTTTGTGTCGCTGCAACTGTCAGCACTTTGGTCCTGCTGTTCTGCCTGAAGAACGCTTGCCTGGCACCTGTTGGATGGGGAACGCATGACTTTCCACTGAATGTCATGGGTAACTTTTGTTCCAACATCCTTGCTTGCTACCCCCCAGAAATAGCCTCAAAAAGAAATGTCTGAAATGTCTGCTTATTTAGTGAAATCAAGTCCTTATTTTTTGTGTTTGACAGACGGCTTATGTATTGAGGCTTTAATACAAAAATCCACATGCATGTTGCCTGCGAACTCATTTCTTCTCTTTGACATGAAACCCAGACAAACCTGGCTTTGTCACTTAATGGGTGTGTGCCCTTGGATGGGTTACTTTTCTTGAACTGTGTTTTCCTCATTTGTGCAATGGGGCTAATAGAACCTATTTTACAGAGATTTTTTCAGGATTAGAGATCATTAATAAAAGTTTGTCAACACAAATTAGCCTCTCAGCTAATGGTAGTAGGATGCTTGCTTAGGGTGATAGAATACAACGCCAAGACAAAATTCTCAAAAGTCATTAGTCCGAAAATATAACTGGAGTATGCAGTATCAGCACAGTTTTCCTGGCCAGGTCATATTTACCAGAGACACACAATTGGATGAGGTTGTAAACCACAAGTTTTTGTGGCTAGATCTGCTCTACAGGCTGTGTTATGGGCCATCCCATGTATACGTTCAAAGAATATGAAGGTCCTTGGAAAGCAGATTTTAAGAATGTATCTAATTTAGCCTCAATGGCATGAAAGAGACATATAGCGCACAACACAGCCTGACCATCTGGTGTGCACTCATGGAGAAAGCAGTGACCACAAGAAATTTGGGCAAAGCAAAAACTCTGTCCCTGTAAAAAATTCATTGTTAGATCTAGAGACGTTCACTGGCACCTGAGACGTTCACTGGCACCTGAATTGTACCATCGAAAGAGACTTGTTCACAGTAGCTCAGTTCATGGTCCATCATATAATGCATCCTTAGTGTGAGTTGTCGAGGAGATGGTCTCTCTGATTCTATCCAGTGCTCAATTTAAGGTCTGTGTTCTTATCTCCTATTGTTGGTTCTATTTCACATATTCAAAATAGAACAGAAGCCTCTTCTAAGAGTAGAACCCTCACCGCAAATGGTCACTCTCTCTGAAAATTGCCTAAGCTGTACCAGGAACAAAACATTTAGGGAGCATTTGTTGGAAGGTAGCGTGCAAAAGAGATGTCCCCTGTCATTTGTTATGGATTCTGGTTTCACAATCAAAACTCTATGTTCCTCTGCTTTGTTTCCCCACTTTTGGTCCCTTCAGGATTTTCCAGCTGTTATCTGACTTGGCAGTTCTCAGCTGCGGCAGTATGTCCCATCTCTCTCTCTCTGTTGCCCCCTGCCATTCCCCCACCTCCTACCTGCTCAATGGGGCTGTGTTGGGAATCCTTAGAAAAGGTTAGCTGCATTCATAGCTGGAGGAGGAATCACCTCCACACTCTTTGACCACTGTGAAGATATACTCTCTCCCCACCCTCCCCTCAAAAGTGTCATGTCCTGAAATGTTCCTAGTCACCGAGGTCAGTTTATGGCACAATATTCTCAGTCGAGGGCAGGGATGTGTTGTGTGATTCAAGCAAACCATATGACATACATTTTACCAACCCAACCATTCTCTTTGAGAAGAAAATTAGATTAGAAATATTGACACTGCATAAACATCCCAACATGATGCCTTCTAAACCTGGTAAATCCTAGGGGTTTTTTTAGGTTTTCAACTTCAAATGATGTGATTTGATTTTTAGGGTCACTCAGGAGTCTACATTTTTCAGTTTCCCTTTCTCTGTGTCATTAAGTAACTCCACCATGTCTGGGCTGAAAACGTGGACGCGCGTTTAACTTCAGACTTGTGATTTCGTGTTTGAAATAGGTGTTTCTAGCCACTGTTATCCCTAGTCTTTAAAATTTTGTCCCTTTTCAATGTATTGGCTACCCCCTGAATATTGTGATTTATGATTTTATTCCCTGTGGTATATGTGTTAGTTTGTATTTTTCTAAGCTACACCCACTCAAACCAAAACAATTTTTTTCTGTTAAGACTTCTTATATTTATACAATCTGCTTCCTCAATCTTGACAAAAATGGAGAAGGAAAAGAACCACATGCTACCCCAATGTGTAGTCATTTCTCATAAATGTGGGATACTTTGGTAGATTCTGTAAATTCGACACATCAATATTTTTTGGTTTATTCTTTCAATGCAATACCCTTGCAGTCCTTAAAAAATATCATGTAGATGGATTTATTGATATTAAAAGAGGTTTTCAATAAAACAAGTGAAAAATTATCAGGTAGGGAAACAATATGGATACCATCACAGTCTGTTTTAAATAAGTTGTATGTGTGTACATAAACTTATTTCTGTGAGTATGTGTATAATACACTCTGTAACTTGGGCATAGGAGAGAGCCTGGAGCCATAGAAA